ATGACATTTACAGAGGTCATTCTGCTATCTGAGTACTTTTAATCTCATATTTTATCCCCATTTTGCTGCTGACACTTCTATTTAAGAACACTTTTTCAACCACTGATCATGGCTGGCTGTAGCTGTAAGGAGAGAATTACTGCATCTTCTTTGATATAAGAGCAAAGTCTTCCCAAAGAAAAGCAGCGTTGCTATTAATAATTTCAAAGCAAAGGCAGTTACTATTTTTCAGGAAGACATCTAAAAAAGCAGAGATAAAACATTCTACTAACTAGCATTGATATCTTTCCCCAGTGACTTCTCCGGCCTCAGTAAGTGAGCAAAAGCACTGAATTGCTGCCTCCTCTGGCGTTTGCTGCCTGTGAACAGCAGCTTTTTCAGTATTAATAATAATATCACCGATGGCACCACTGAAAGAGAGGGATTAGAGCTCATACTGCTGGATGAGATGTTACAGCTTGGCTGGAATACATGTGGGATTTGACTTGACTTTTATTTAAAACACAGCAAATGGGAAGCCAAAAATCTTTTTCATTTAAGAGCAATTAAGTGGATCCCAAAATCACTGGCTCCAGCATGCCACTGAGGCAGGGTTTTTTTCTGGTTTTATTACCCATTTCCTCTCCCTTGCGCCAGCAGAAGGAATGCTCACTTTCCTCTCACAAAGCCACATTTCCAACGCCAGAATCACACAGGGACCACCATGATTAAGTGCAAGCCAGTGCTTCCCTAAACATGTGAGACATTATAGACCCCCCTCCTCCTCCAAACACTGAGAAGTGTTGTGTTCCAACATTTATGTGAAGTAATTAAAAACATCCACCAGTAATTTAATAGTTCTCACCAAGTAGAGACATGAAGTCTACATATTTTTTTCACTCTGTATAAATAACCTGGAATGCAGTCGGTACACAGACGATTTGGACTTTTTTTTTTTCTTCCTGCTGTTTTGCAACATTTTGTAAGAAGCCCTGTTCTGTTTCACCCAGGATGAGTTTGTGCAGTTACAAGCAACATGCTGACTTTTAAATTCATATTCCAGATAGAGCAATCCATACATCATACGCTGACAGCAGATTCAAATCAAAGCTTTCTTACTACTCGAGACTGTCATTCTATGGGTTTTACAGTCTCTTGACATCAGGGAGCATTAAAATGACCTCTAGCGCCCGCTGCAGTAGCGTATCCGAATGTGGATGGCTCTGACATGTGGTTCCAATCTGTCTCTTTTCTCACAGCGAGAGAGGAGGCCATTCATTTATCTCACTGTGAATACAGCACTTAAGGACTCGACAGACAGGTTTTCAAGCCTCCAAAAAACAATCTGTGGGTGAAAGAAATGTTATAGCCCAAGAAACAATGTTATTGTTACAGATTTTTTTTTTTTATAGTATGTGAAAAAAAATACTCAGTACCATCTCGTTCTATGTGCCTCTTAAAGATAGTGCTCAGTCTAACCACTAGACAAGAAAGGACATTTAAGACTGCTGGCCAAATGTTTATTTTGAGGTGCTCAATCTGTTCCTAACTTGAATGTCTGTTAAAAAAAAAAAAAAAAAGTAAAATCTTCAAGCTGCATGAATTAATATTTTGTTTTATAACAATTGGTCAAATGACTGTGTAATGTGAAATGGTACCTTACAGTGACAAACAATACAACTGAACGCCATAGTTCTCTCAGCTCTACAAATCATTTTGGCCTCTTTAAGCTTGTTGTTTTGGTTTCACCACCCACAGCATTTCTCTTTCAGACCCAGAAAAAAAAAACATTCTGATAAGCCTACTATTTGCTTCCTGACTAGCACCAAACAACACAGATAAAGTTAGCCGCTAGTCAGTGAACAGTTAAGAGCCAAATATTTCCCGAAGTGAGACAGCTGGATTAATTTGCTGCTTTCAGTGGTGCAATCAAATTAGACTATTGTGTCTTCATCAGAGATTTACCCAAATATTTCCCACAGGAGCTGATAGAGACCAAAACCAGGAGATCTGTGGCCAGAAAGATTACTCCCATCTCATACACTGGAGATGTGAGCAAGTACATGATTACTAATATTTTTGCCATATCAACTTGACACAGCAAGGTGATGACCTGTCAATGTTGTTTACAGCCGGTTGCACTGCTACCAGGTGACCAACAAAGCTCAGGTGCTTAACAATGAAGGACAGAGCTCTGCAACAACTCCGCATTGTATGTAATATTTATAACAGGATTCAGAGTATTTCTTCAGAGAGGAATATCATGCCCTCCGGTCTAGAGTTAGTGTTTGTGATGATTAATATCAAGATGGGTACGTGTTCCTTTTAGGATCAGGTGATGCCAGGAACTGTACAAGTTACCTTAGCACCTCAGATCCACCACAAACTGATCTTTTAAGTAATTTCCTGGATTTTAATGTTCAATATTAATAACCCTAAACTTTTATCAGGTTGGTTTCTTAGTAAAACTCAAACTATACATTGCGACACAGACTTGAAGAATGTGAACAAATGGAATTTCTGAGGAAGACAGACACATTCTCCCCTCAGTGGTCATAAAGAAGACAAAGCTTTTTACAGTATCAACAGACACAAGACATGACCCTTTGGTTCCTCAGGGCAAAAGGTGAGAGATCTGGGAGCAGAGGCCTGGTTCCAGCAGTCTGCCAACAAACGAGACATATGTGCTCCTCACCACATTCCTACCCATCTTAGATCACTGAACAGCTCTCTCCGGCTTTCAGTCTTCAGTCCCTTCCAACCCAAAGCAATATAATCTTTTATTCACCCCCAGATGGCACCTTATAACGAAACCAAAATAGAACATGTAATAATCACAGTAAGCTTCCAGTGCGGCTTCAGCCGATGCTTTTGTGCAGGTGTCTGAGTTTGAAATTCAGATTGGTCTGATGGGGGTGGAGGTCAAATTCTCAAGTAAGGAGTTCCTTCTATTCAAACAAGATTCTCAAAAAAGTGTAGTCATCATGAGAAAAGGTTCTTAGTCTACTCTCCCAGTGCATGTGGTGAATAGAGAAATAAGCCTGTGTAACCTAGGGCTGTCTCTTTTATATGTGGGGATGACTGTGCTGCTAAGTGAATTGGCTGCAACAGAAGCCGCTACTAATTTCATATTCATGACTTCTGAGAGAAACAGAGGAAAATAAAACAAGCAAAGAGAGTATAGCCAGGCCCATATACTAACTATCACATCTAGAAAGTCAAATCTCGTCTTGCACAGGCTGAAGAACAAGGTCATCCTCCGCAGCAAAGACTGACTCATCTCACGCCCACTCATGCATGCACACAAATTGAAATAAGAAATCGTGCTTGTATTCACAGATTTAATGGTATCATAATAAAAGCTAGTTATCTATCAATGTGCACTGCCTCAATAGCTCCATAACACAGGGACACCAGCTAAGAGCCTATGCACAGTATAGCCTGGAACAAACAGCCAAGCTGTAGCTCCCTGCAGCTAACAGCAAACACGTCACTTTTCTAAAGAGTAATGACAGCATGCACAAATGGAGCCTGAAAGCATCTCAGTGGCACTGCCTTTTCAGACATGTCCTCTAAACAGGAGCTCCTTCACAGGCTCCTGTCAAGGACATACATAAGTGTGGAGCGCCCTCTAGGGGACAGAACTCTGACTTGACTGGACATGAGGCAGTCCAGCTATTGCAGTGCAGCCACATCAAAGCTCACCCTGTGCAAATGTCTTGAAAATAGTTAAAAACCGACTTTAGATATACAAATGCTGCACAAACAGATGAGAAATTCACACAAATCACAAAATATACTTTCCTTGTATATGATGCTTTATCACTTGTGCTTATGTAAATGTCTAAATTTCTTTCTTACAAAGTAAAACATAGAGACATGCTGTCTTCAGATTACATATGCAGATACAGTATGTCACCCCAGCACCGAGCTCTTGCCATGCTACTGTTGACAGAGTGAAGCTGCAGGTCACAGTGTGGTTGACAGACACGCGCCCATGCCAGCCCTGCAACAAGACGAGCCACCTGGAGCCAGATTCTGCATCGGTGAGGGAGATATATGGCCTGGAGGTCACAGAGGTCGAACGTAGAAGCAACCCCATTTCTTCAGTTTTAGATGTTGCACACAGACACACAATCTTGTAGCCTTGAGTGCTTTTGAGGCCAGATTTATCACCAGTTACTCTCAAAAAGCAACATCCATCATTAAAGTATTCACAGTGTGGGATCAATGTCACAGCAAAAAACTGATGTATATCAATTTTTTGCAGGACCATCAAAAATTAATCCCCCAAAATACACTATTAACCCACATTCCCCTTTTAACTACTCAACACTGGCACAGAGAATGCAGTCTTGCTCAATTTTCTGAGTAATTTGGGTCTAAAAATGAACATCCAAAGAAGTTTCAGAAAAGGTTTAGCAATACTACACAATTAGTTTTGACAAATAAACAAACTGGGTACGAAACACAGAAGCTTGTACCATCTGTTATGAATTCCTGTTAAATACCCATTTGGTTAATTAAACTTTATGAATAATCAAACTGCTGAGACACAACAAAAGGTCACATTCTCAGAGGGACAGAATCCCTCCTTCCCACTATCACACTGGATATACTGTATGTACTACCAAATACTCTGCGGTATTCACAGACTAGAACAGGAATTCTTCCACAAAGAACAAGGTACCTGAAAGAAGCAGGCTGGTTCATCCAGTAAAAAATGCCACTGAATAAAAGGAATCTCAATTATTCTAATTTGCATAAATTTTATATGTATGTATATTATGTAAATACATATTTACACAGTGTGGTGTCCCCTAGCAGTTGCATTGACCTGGTTTCCTTTAAGGCCCCCTTGTGGGAAAACTGGCAATTGTGGGGAGTTGCAAAAACTTCAACCTGAGAATTTTGTCGCAGACAGTGATTTTAATTTCAGAAAATCACAAGTTCATACACCTGTCATTTTCACTAGAAGTTAAATGCAAGGGTTTCAGAACAGAACAGGCTTCAACGATGTATATATATATATTTATAAAAAAAAAAAAAATTCACCTTGTGACACTACTTTTAGACTACAGCCACAGTTCAATATTCAGCAATCGGCATGGTATTTCAATGATCCTGCTAAATCTGACTAACAACTCAAAAACGTGGCTTCTTTTCGTCTAGGTATTAGTTCCACAAAATGCCTTCACACATACATCAGGTACAGTCATTGCATGGCATCATGTTTCCCTCTTCTAGCCAACTCAAGCCGTTAACAGGTCGAATATAAAAATCATTGTCAAAGTAAATTTATTAAAGGCATACAACTGTGGTCTTGTAGTCTTTTAACCATCTATTCAGTGCTTAACTGCAGGGACATGTATTTTTTTTTTTAATGGGCTATGTAATAAAGTCCAATCTTGCTCTTGTCGATGATACTGTTGACGTGCGAAGTGAGTTTCTTGATGATTTTACACATTATTTCTAAGAGAGTAAGGTTTAAGACAGAAGGCCGAAACAATCCATTACGATTAAGTGCTGTAGGTTTGTCCTTCTGGTGGTTGTGGAAGCTTCATATTTTCTTTGGACATCATTAGACGCCTTAACTCTTGAAGAACAATTTTAATGCTATAAGAATTCTGCCATTTTGCTAATATTGGTATGCTACGTGAATCCACCTGTGAGGCAAAACAAAAAACACCACCAGTCAGTCATTATGACAGGCCCGCTGACAGTGAGTTATTGCATGTGTCACATCTGAGCATCACATATCTCAATGGATTTCTGAACTGAACAAAATTATATAACAGAGCATCACTCATACATAACACTGTCTGGTTTTGTGATGACACTTACCGTCCCGTTGGAATTATTTATCCCATTCATGCTAATTTTTGTTACAAATCTAACAGTGGGGGCTGTCTCTGGGTATCTAGGTCCACATTCCACTTTCAGACTGTATATCCTGTTCTCATAATTGGTCTGAAAAACAAAGTAGAAAAATATGAAAAACACATTTACATATTCTCACAGTATCTATTTTAGTTGAGAATATTTTCTGTCTGTGATGAAATGGGCTCTCGCTGCTTACTCTTGCTGGTCCAATGATCATGCCCGTCCACCGTGTGAGAGTCATGTCTTCATCATCCTCGAGGCCCCAGCTGACTGTGCCATCACCTTCGCCCTTCTGCCCCTCTTCAAGCTCTTCCAACAAGCGAAAATTGCGTGGAACTTTAACTTCTAAAATAATAAAAAATAAATTGCACTGATTTTTAAGAAGCATTAACTAAGATTTTACACAACATCTGATAAAATCAGGTGAAAATGACAGAGGATGCAGCGTCTCCCTGCTATACAACCCTCTTTCATGACATTCTGGGGAATACAGTGTTTGTTGTTATTCCAGCCTTTCTACCCTGTTGTCAAAATCAGGTCAATAAATTAGCCCCGTCTGCCACTTAACAAAAGGTTATATGAAGTATTTTTCAAACCATTATATGAAGTATTTTTCAAACCGTGAGGAGTCATTTTAAATGCCCAGCTACAACGGCCCTCTCTCCTGGTAAATGTCAGAAACAGTGGCTATCAGACCAAAGAAGTTGTGTTCTTTGCACAGAAAAGATGAGAGAAAGAAGCAAAAACCAGGGTTAACTTCAGTTTGGCTTTTTGAGACGGAGAGCGTTAAAAGTGAAAGGTAAAAAAAACTCTTACTTGATTCAGAAGTTGCATTTTTCATTCTGCATGTGTTAACACCTGAAGTGTTATTTTTGGTAACATTAACAACCTAGCATGGCCATGATTTTACCTTCGTATTGAATTAATACACATTATATTTGGGAATAATTTGTGATTTGTGTGACAGTAGTAGTAACCACAGTGTTCTACTGGACTGGCAAATTTACTTGTTAGTCAGCTAATGCTAGGCTGCATTTTGTGTGTCGCAAAGAGGCATGTGTAATCTATATCGCTCCTAGGAAACAGGAGCTGATGGGAAGGGCAAAAAGCATTAGGATTATTTGTTCCAGCCAGTGGTTTTAAAGAAAAAGCATTCATCTGAAACAAAACTGTGGCATCATTTTTCAAGTGTTTTGTTGCGCTACATGTGTGTAGCCACAGCATATAGCAGCGTTTCTGTGGAACTGCATATAATTTGATATTTGATGCTGCTGAGCATCATTGACCTTTTACAAAAAAAAAAAAATAATAATAAAGTGCACCTGACAACCATTAGGAAACAGTCATGAGATTTTGAGCACATGAGCCTATACTTCTGATTTTTAACAAATGACTCTGGGTATAACACCCAGATGTCTTATGACCAATGTCCTAACAGCTGATTTGATAACAATATTCAAAAGCAGTCAGAGTGTTCAACTACTGGAAAATGTTCTCAGAAAACAGGCTGGACATTGGCACTAAACACATGGCCTGACAGGCACTCATGCTGGTGTAAATAATGTACCTCCTACAGCTCATGACCAGAGGAGTGGTGGAGGTTGGAGACAGCACTCAAGTCAAACTACTACTATTTCTAATTATGATCCTATAGAAAAATTCACAGAAAAGGAAGTGGCAAACATGTTCAGAAAAAGGCCACGTGACTGACACAGAAGACACAGTGAGAACAGACACCGAAGCACTCATTTCACAATACTGAGCACAAATAGCTTAATTTTTTTCCCCAGCATTTCACATATTTTGTGCAGTTGCCACAATGAGGGGTTGACTGAAGTAGCACATGAGCTCTCCTATTTTCTTAAAAGGCTCACAAGAAGATTCAGTCCTTTATCAACATGCAAACACCAGTAAAATGTAGGGATGCACCAATATCGATACCAGTATCGGGTCTGATACCACCCTCTAATACTTGTTTTCGTAACTCCTGAAAGTTGTCTGATACTACTTACAGCAACATTACATTAACCTCATATTGACCAGGCAGGTCCTTAGGTGGAAGAGAAGAAATTTCAGTAATTATTTTAAGGCAAGTGACAAAGACAAAAGTAAAACTGACTAAGCTTTGCTTCTCTGCTGTGCCTATGTGAGAGCCGAGAAGGAGGGAGGGGCGCTCACAGACGCATGCAAACATACACAGCAGAGCTGAGTCAAGTTTTTTACCGAGATGTCAACACTTGACGTGCAACAAAATCCAACAGCAATGGAGAGAGTAATGAATCAAACACATTTTGAACAAGCAGAATGCAAGAACAAATTCAAAGTAATGTGACATCTTCACTCTCCACACATTCAAAATGTCTGGTCCCTGTTCATCCACTAAACTCATACGGTGCTAGTTATGCTGTTTGTCATTAATTATTGTGAATAAGAAGAAAACAAGTGCTAATTTTATGAAGCCAGTGGTGGAGTCTAATAAGCTCTGTGCATGAAAATGAGTTGAACTGTTGTAGACTTGGAGGCTGAGACCGAGCAGTTCCTCTATAGTAGTGCATGTACGTGTCCACCAGAGAGGACAGGATGAAGCCACAGACAGCAGCCAATTTTAAGTAAGAGCATGCACGCTTGTTAAATTAAACATTTAATCCGCAGACTGCAATATTATGCCCTCCTAAAATGTGACATCCTGGGTGATGGGCCGTGAAATCCTTTCATCCCAAGAGAGGGTCACACTCCTAAAAAAAAGGTTAAAAACCACTGTATTACAGTATGGTGTAAAGAAGGCTAGAGACATTCAGTCAGTTACATGTTATATTCAATAGGAATGATGGCAGTTCTGTTTATCACAAAAAGGTTTTAAGGTAATTTATATAGTCTCATGTTATACATTTTATTTAAATTACAATCAAAGTAAATCTCATGATAAAAACAGTTCCTAAAGTCACTGCACTTTTATGGTAAATGTAATTTTGTGAGTAGAGCCACTGCATTATTATCAAGTGCCTCTATCAGTGCTCTGATAGAGGCACTTGATTCATTTGGCTTTGATTCATTTTCTGTAAAATGATCAATCATTAGCCGAGTTTCAGTTCTAAAAGATATGGTGTCTTTATAATAGATGCTCACAACATACACTATGTTATTTAATGTTTATTAGACTTTAAATAACATTTCTGTTCGATTTTAATGAACAGACCACATTTTTAGATCATTTGTCCTATTTTTTCTTAACTTACTATATTTCTGTTGCATTTATTGTTGTTAACAATAATTCCATTTCCAGTACTATTATAGTTGCCATTGGTGTTACATTCACTATTAAACTGTAAAAGCAAGCTAATAATCAGTTTTAAAAGTTCAATTTAAGTACATATTTGCCCACATATTCCTATCCATCTATAGTATTAGCCACAAAAACATTTCATTAATCAAGTTCTAACAAAAAACTACACTATAAATATAAAGTACATTTTATGGAAATTAATATTTTTAAAAAATCATTGATCTAGTGTGCATCAGATAAGAGTGGTACAAACGTACTAAGACTACTGCAATGCTATGCTGCATGGTAGCAGACAAACTAAAGATGTGTAGGTGTGATCAGCCTCCGTTTCCGCCTCATCTATATTCATTACTGTTTTAATTTCATGTCCCTCTGCTGTTCCTGGTTGTCCTAGCCTAACCTGCTGTTTGGGTCTTCAGTACTGTTATGGGAATACAACGTTGTTCCCACAAAAAAGTAAATGTGTCAAATTAAGATCCTGAGGTACTGATAAGTATAATAACTACATTAAATTTGAATAATACACACACACACACACACACACACACACACAAAATAAATGGTATACATTTTCGGCTAAATCGGAAATAATAAATTCACGACTTAAAATGCATTAAATCCAAGTCAATGAGCAACTCACTTAACCCTAAAACCTGAGAGAGAAAAAAACTCACTATATTTCAAGAGCTATACCATGTAAAAGCGTCTCAGTCCACTGGTGGCACTAGTAACTCAAATCTTACCAGGTTAACAACGAATCAGTAAGTCACGCTAACTTGCCCTAAAGGAAGTTTCGATTGTGTTGAAACTATTTCCCCATTTCTCCAGTCTGTTTTAGCGTTGTCGTGATGTATGAGTAAAGTGGCGTAGAATTAAATAACATAAACCTTATATGAATATAAATCTAGTTATTTAGTTTTCCCGTAATTCAAATAGTTTATTTTGGAAGCTTGAAATCAGCGCTTCCTGTTGAAAGCTAATGCAGACATGGGCTCCGACTGTTTGCTGAAACAAAGCGTGCAGACTACAGTTCGGTTCTTTACTAAACTCGTCACTTTCAAAACACCCTGCACTGGCAAATATCCACCCACTCCTCGAATATCTTAGTATAGTTAAATATTTGAAATCCTCTTAAAATCCGACAACGTTAGCAAGTACTAACGAAAGCACCAGCGGGACCGGTCCCTGTACTGAAACAATTCCACCACCATATTGTTTTGCATTACAGAGAAGCGTCCCCACACTGTTTGTCACGGTTAACAGCTAAATGGCTATTAAAGCATACCAAATATGTGTGCCTCGACAGTGTGTAGAGAGACAAACCCCAATAAAAACAAGAGAAAGTCTGTACTTAATGCGATATTCTGATCAACTAGCAGAGCAGTATCCACAATCGCTACCGCGCGGCGTCAGAATATTCTAGTCGCTGAGTTGGCTAAACTAGCTAGTACTGCCTGCGGTTGTTTACAATCCTAACACTGAGAGCAACTTACATGCATCCTTGAATCTCTATATAGCATTATACTGCCTATTTAGTAGTCTTTGTGTCACACAAATTGAATATTAGTGCTACTAACGCGTATATCTTGACACCTCGATCCATTTCAGCTAACTCACGCGACAAGCTATTCACAACGCCTGGCTTTAGCTACGCTAGCCAACACACTAGATCCATGAAATAGACGGGTCCCCTGAATATCATTGCGTTGCCGAAAGGAGATATTTGCGAAACGACTGCATCGCAGAGCGATTTTATAAACATCTTAAGACAGCTAATGGCCAAATTTACTGGCTGAGATGCGAAAGCAACCTCAGCGTTGCCCATATTTTATGTGCTGTGAATGTTAGTTTGAAGGCACACAAACCTGAGGAGGTCGCCATCTTCTTCAGCCGAGTCCAGAAGCACACAGAGGTGTGACATCACAGCGGTGAGCACCGGCAGATGAGCGCACTGCACTTTACTGATCACTGGAGTTTGACAGACCGACAGCAGCCATAACTCTGGCGACCTGTGTTGACTCTTAACCTCCTGAATCTAAATGTTCCCTTTAAATCTCCTTTTAACCAGCCATTTCAGAAGGAATTCAGACGCCTTTGCGCACTTTGTTGTAGCTTTAATTTTAAATGGATAAAACTGGTGGGCTATTTTCTCACCATCTCACACCAAGTAACCCATTAATGACGTTTTTAGAATTCGCCAGCTGTAATCTGTGTGCTATAATAATCCTTGAAACATGTTTGGAGTTTGACTGTAGTCCAAATTAAATTGAAAGGCACACACCTGTTTATATAAGACCCCACACTTCACACCAAATGTCAGACAAAAACCAAGCCATGAACCCCCAGGAATTCTCTGTAGACCTCAGTGAGAAAGTTGTGATGAGACACAGATCAGGGTATAAGGGAGATGGTATAAAGCCATTTAGTTGTTGCCAGGACTCAGAGCATGAAGGAAAAGATTTTTTGATAACTAGCTAAACTCTTTTCTTCAATTTCAGGTTTTTCTGTAGTTAGCTGCTCTCTGACATTTTAGGACAGGAGTGACTTTTTTTGTCCATATTTCTAGTTAAGATCCCAGGGATAATAATTTAGGTCAAACTTAGTGTGTGTATAAAAAGAGGCATTAAGAATATTTCCTTTTGTTAAAATGGTGCAGCAAAAAAGTGGTTTTTGGAGTAACAATGTTGAGATCTAAATATAAATATAGAAAAACTGAATTTAATTCAACTACTGGAAAAAAACTTGAGCATTTTCAGTGAGCAACATTTTATTTTCTCTCTATTAACAAGCAGTCAAAACAAGCTACAAGGACAATTCAACTCTGGTATTAAGTACTTAAGAGTATTTAGAAATGTGAGACAAAAGAAACATACTGTATGTTTCAAGCTTGCTTTAACAGGAACCAAAAAGAACAAGAGAAACTCAATGAGTATATGCAATGTACAAGTTAGAAAAAGAGCTCTTCAATTATGATGGAGCACAAAACAGGAAGAGCATTACTTGAAAACTTGTAACAAACAAAAGAAATAGAAGCATTTTTAAATATTAGCTCCATTAAATTCCAGTATGTGTCGTCACAACAGGACACCAGTGTTTGAATGGCAATTCTGAATCATCAGGACATTCAAACATCTAGCACACTCAGAATGGATTCTTAATTACACATTGTTTTACAGGATGAGAAACGACACAGGATGGAATTTAAAGTTAAGTACTGTACATAATTGCAGGGTGTGCCTTAGGCGAGGAGACGAACGGTCTTTCCAGTGACTGTTAAGTAATCCTCGTCAGCTAGGGCTCGGAGCGCCTCATCGAACAGCTCCCTGGTGATCGCCTGAAAACAAAGTGGCACTTCATTACAGGAAGTGGTGGTGGTGCTAAGAGCAGATTTTTTAATTATAGTTAATACTTTCATAGGTTTACTGTGGTTTGGCTAATTTAATTTTACTACCACCACTGTTAGTATCAACATCCTTTTATTTCTTCAATTTTAAGCCTACACACTGATCCAGAATAACTCTACTTCACAAATGTCAAGAAAACATTAAAAGACTTATTTTCTATTGCACAGTTGGTATTGGATGCTGGCTATCTGCCATATGATCAAATATTAATTTATCTTTTAACACGGTCATGGACTAGAAATCAAAGCATTTGTTGAGGTGGGTTAGTAACAAGGAGCACGCCGACTCCACTCAAAGTATTTACAGTTTCAGACTGTCCTCTGAGGTCATCGAGCAGCTGCTGGTATTTCATGGCAGGTGTCTTTCCCTTGGCCTGGATCAGTTTCTTCAGGGCCTGAGCAACCTCCTCCTTACGCTTACGGGCAGTAGCACTCATACCTGGAATCAGAAATCAGTATAGTGAAATTCACAGAGCTTGAATTTGGAGATCCAACGAGAGCTTACAGAAATCTGTGGATTAATCAATCAACAAAAAAATAGATCTGCATCTATTTTAATAATGGATTTACTGTTCCTGTCATTTTGTATGCAACATTTCCAACTATTTAATGGTTTCAGTTGCTTTAATGTGAGCATCTGTATCTTTTCCATGCCATACATTATTGATCTTAAGTGCAGATAACATATTACAGGACCGCCTCTAAAAACAGTTGCTACAATTCAAAACCGATTAATAATATCCTAAGGCACTATTCTTACATACCGGTTGTGAGAATAGAGATGTCAACAAATCCTGTCCTGGGGTCAGTGGCTGACTGTTTGAGGGCTTCTCGGTGCAGCCGCTTGGCCTCCTCCACATCCACGGTTTCCACCTTCTCAGAGAAGCGCACTTTGGCGTGAGCCTCTGCCAAGCGGATCAGGGACTCCAGCTGTCGGGGGTAGGCGGACACCATGCCTCGACCGCTGCCTATCTTCCTCATGTCCACATAGGCCTGAGGACCAACACGCCTAAGGTCAGCTGAGGTCACAAGAGCTGATATCCAACTTGTTTAACCCTTACAGTAGGTTCACACAAACGATACAAAAAGCTCGACAGCTGCCATTCACTGTGAATGAAACCTGGCTTTGCAGCCCTTTGTCCCCCAACTTAGCCCAACAGATTCAAAAAGTGTCCAGCTACACAACAGCGCAAAGTTGAGGAATGCTCGACTTTACGTAAATATCCTCTGATGCACACAAGCGACAGCCAATCACAATCATCTTGAATATTAAATATTAAAGGCGTATTAAACAAAATGGAGAGAAAAACCTTTTCGTCACAGTCTCCAATGTGTCTAACGAGTGACTGGGACAAACAGAAGAATGTCAGGTGGAAATAAGTTGCTGACATGCGTAGCAGTTATGTAGAACAGTGTACGTACATGTCAGAAAACAACAGTCCAGTCAGAGCAGAGGATGTAAATAATGCTCTCAACAGCACACACCTCAAGAACTACAGATTTACTAAAGGCCACAGACACCTAGCTACTTCGTAAGTGTGAACGTACCAATTGGGTGAACAGATGTTATATTAGCTCAGAAGCTTTGGCCATAATATTCATATAGTGAAAAACTAGTAAAGAAAACAAACCCCAATGAGGGCCTGGCTGGCTTCCTCGCTCAGTCTTGGATTAATGTATGTTCGTGCATATGCGATGTAGTCCTTCAGCACAGCCATGTCGAGGAACTCCTCCTCCAACTCCTCCTCGCTCTGGTAGTACAGCGACACCAGGTGGTGGGCCAGCCTGCGGTCGTAAGCCTCGTCTTGAGGATCCAGCATCAGGAAAATGAGGTCGAATCTGATGGAGCATGAGAACCGTATGTTAAGGACAAGTAAGGAATACAGACGAGAGACTGAATCATAAAGACTTTATTTAAAAAAAAGGTTGGATGTTAAAATTTTATTAAGTGTCAACTAGCTGATAAATGCTGCATACTGGCAAAAGTTCACAGCACAGCGGTGAATCCATTTCCCCATCAGGTGTTTGAGTGTGACTGAGCTGACTGGTAATATTCACCTGGACAGCAGTGTGTGAGGCAGCTGGATGTTTTCGATCGTGGTCTTTTTGGGGTTCCACTGAGACTCAACAGGGTTGGCAGCAGCCAGCACAGCAGTACGGGCGTTCAACTGGCAAATGATTCCAGAGGAGTGACAAAAAACAAAACAAAACAAAACAAAACAGAGTGAGGAACATCATTAGTTGTATCTTCCATTTCCTCCTGCCATTCAAAATTTGTCAGACATACCTTGGCGATGGAGAGGGTCTGCTGCTCCATGACCTCATGCAGCACAGAGCGCGTGCTGTCGCTCATCTTGTCAAACTCGTCGATGCAGCAGATGCCGTTGTCACTCAGCACCAGCGCTCCGGTCTGCAGGACCAGCTGCCTGGTCTCCGGGTCCTTCATCACATAGGCAGTAAGACCCACAGCGCTGGAGCCTTTTCCTGACGTGTACTGGCCACGGGGCACCAGGTTGTAGATGTACTGCAGCAGCTGAGACTTGCTGGTGCCAGGGTCTCCGCAGAGCAGAATGTTCACCTCTGCACGGAAGTTGCCCCGGCCAGTCTGGCTGAAGTCCTTACGGGTGCCACCAAACAGCTGCAGCAAGATGCCCTGGAAGAACAGAGAGGGAAAGAAACATTTATAAAGAACTGCACCAAACTACTAGCAAGTCTGTATTATGATACCATTTAGATGCATATTTCAATATAACGTTGGATACAGCTATAATTTACTATGAGGAGACTAGATATCACCTGGGGTTTTGGTTGTCACAATACAGGATCACGTAATGCCTTCATGTTTTCTGTGTTAAAGTACACAGAGCATATCTGATCATTCCAAATAGTGGTTTTTCATCAGACATTTTGCCTTGTAGAAAAATCCCAAGTGGAAATAACTTTTATGTAAAAAGTTAAGTATAACTCTCTGGTGGTATTTTTACCATCCATCAAGATGATGTGACTATTATCAATTCAATAAAATGACAACTCTCAAACTGTAGATGCAATTTGTCAACACAAGAGGGCGTAAAAAGTCAAACCTGACTTTAACTAGGGATCACTACTATAGCAGTTGACCTTTTGCAAGGAATAGAGGAGGAAGAATAGGCGAACTTTTTGGGTGAAGAGCTTTAGGGCCAGAGTGGAGAGTAAGAACAGTTACACTGACCAACACCTATTCTCACATATATATGGGCAGCATTGTTTTAAGACAGACTGGAAAAATCTCCAACCTATCCATCCTTTAACACTCATAGCTGGCTTGCACCCTCACACACACAAACCTTTTTGATGTCCTCATGTTCATAGATACTCGGAGCGAGGGCAGAGGAGAGGCGCTGGTAGATGTCTGGCTTGGCTGCCAGTTCCTTCAGGCTCTTCACTCGGTCTTCAGTGAAGAGCTTCTGTTCAGCCTCCTCATCCAAACCGTGAAGACGCTTCTCGTCCGTCTTGCGGAAGTGGATGGCGTCTATGTGGGTCTTGTACACTGACTTCACATTGCTCTGACGTGGGTTAACACGCATGGGAACGGCTCTGTAGATACCTGCAAGGCCATTAGGGAAGCTGTTAGGAGTTCTGCTAACAAC